AATCTCTCTTCTTGTTCCTTTTCTTTTCCTCCAACAACTGCTTTAATCTCTCTTTTTGTTTCTTTTCTCGTTCTTCTTGTTTATTTTCTCGTTCTTCTTGTTTCTTTTCTTTCTCCTCCAACCACTGCTGTAGTCTTTCTTCTTGTTTCTTTTCTCGTTCTTCTTGTTTCTTTTCTTTTCCCTCCAACAACTGCTGTAATCTCTCTTGTTTATTTTGCTGTTTGAGCTGCCAGTGTTGCAGGTTTTCTTGCCACTGCTGTTACCTCTCTTCTTGTTTCTTTTCTTTTTCCTCCAACACCTGCTGTAATCTCACTTCTTGTTTCTTTTCTTTTTCCTCCAACAACTGCCGTAATCTCTCTTCTTGTTCCTTTTCTTTTTCCTCCAACAACTGCTCTAATCTCTCTTTTTGTTTATTTTCTCGTTCTTCTTGTTTCTTTTCTTTCTCCTCCAACCACTGCTGTAGTCTTTCTTCTTGTTTCTTTTTTCGTTCTTCTTGTTTCTTTTCTTTTTCCTCCAACAACTGCTGTAATCTCTCTTGTTTATTTTGCTGTTTGAGCTGCCACTGTTGCAGGTTTTCTTGCTACTGCTGTTACCTCTCTTCTTGTTTCTTTTCTTTTTCCTCCAACAACTGCCGTAATCTCTCCTCTTGTTCCTTTTCTTTTTCCTCCAACAACTGCTCAAATCTCTCTTTTTTGTTTCTTTTCTCGTTCTTCTTGTTTATTTTCTCGTTCTTCTTGTTTCTTTTCTTTTTCCTCCAACAACTGCTGTAATCTCTCTTCTTGTTTCTTTTCTTGTTCTTTTTGTTTCTTTTGCTGTTCTTGTATTGCTGCCATCAAATCTGCTAAGCTGTAGTTTGATTTGCCACCTCTCGTTTTCATCTTCTTTTTTTTTATTTTTTTTATTTATTTTTATCCCACTTCTGACACCAATTTGTTACGTCTCAGGTCGTTAGTTAATTACTCGTAAAAATTATTTCTAAAGAACTTCAGCGATACAAGTCCTTTCTCAAATAAAATTAGTTTATTCTTTCTCAATACAACTTTGCAATACTCTTAATTTCCACACTTAAACACATGTTATAATTCTCAACGCACGATTCACGCACTTTACTTACTATCGCGCTTGACTCAATGGTCCGTCTATATTGTTATGTCTCTGTTCGTTTGTTAATTTCCGGTAGAAATTCTTCCCGAGAAACTTCAGCGATACAAGTCCTTTCCTAAATAAAACTAGTTTATTCTTTCTCAATACAACTTTACAATACACTTAATTTCCACAGTCACTTCAACACACGCTATAATTCTCAACGAACGATTCACTCATTTTACTTACTACTGCGCTTGACTCAATTGGCCGTCTCTATCTCTGCCTGTCTGCAATTCTATTATTTCTCTCCGTCGTCACTTTATTTTCCGGCTTATATACAATAAGAGCGTGCGTCTAGCAAACGCTCGAGCTTTCAGGAACGTTCGAGATACTCATTATGTGTTACCAGCCTCACGTGGCTTCCGCTGTCGTAACAATATCTTCAATCTCTCTGTCTGCTATTCAATTCCGATTAATAATCTCGCTTTATTTGGCGCACTTATATGCAAGAATAGAGGGCGCCTAACAAATACTGGATTATTTGTGATGTTCCCCTATCTTTCTAGAACTCATTACGTGTTACCAGCGTCACGTGACTTCCGCTGTCTTAACAGAATTATAGTAAGCAATTGTTACTAATTTTGATTAAAGAACATGATCATATGATTAAACCCTCTTTTAACATTAAATTTACGAATGCAGTATTCTATTGCATTATATTAATATGTATTTATTATATCAAACTGAAAACTTACAACACTAAAAACCAGGGTTTCGGTACCCTTGGTGGGCACAACACAAATAGCCCATTGTGTAGCTTTGTGCTTAGCTACAGACAAACAAACAAATATATCAAACTGTGGTAGCTTAATGTAAAACATGTAACTAACTTAAGTAGGATGATAGACAGAAAATGAGTTCCAACAGGATTCTTTTCAAGTCCCGGTTATACGACTGCGCTGAAACGAACAATGTACGTCATAAGTGGTTATTATAGCTGCAGTCGAAAATGTTACAAGGACATATAGATAATTTTAGCTTTTAATTTAAATATTATATGTGAGCAAGTTAAAAAGTGCCAAAAATTATGTTAAGGTATTAAGAAGAAATCCTAAGCACTTATGTACAACACAATTCATTGATCTGATTCGTAAGTAGACCTTCGTCTGTCTTTTTGTGTGTTGTTTTCCATATAATCGCCAACAGACTTAATTATACCTTTAAAACGTAAAAGATGAAAGTTGTGACGTCAAGCACCTCCCGGAATATTTTAACTTCTGTCCAGTTTAGCTATTTTTAAAGACTTTGTGCTAAGTTTAGAGAGCCTTCTCTGAGGTCGTGACTCAAATAATTCTTCACATCAAACATGATGTAATCAATCACTATTGTCGCTATTGAACAAATACATGAAACTTTTCAAACTAGTGGCCAAGGAGAAATACGTCTAAGTTTTCATACTTCATTTGTATTTTATTAAATATATAAGTATATAGCTATTTTTACTTTATATTGTTAGTAATAGTATACATAGTCAAACTTGACAAAACTGTGTATGTTCAATAAGTTTTATTATCCTAGAGGTTTTCAAATATTAAAATACTAATGTTTCTACTAAACTCGAGAAGTATAGCATCAAAACTATATTTTCAATATATTTTTAAACTTTACGTTTCGTAGTTGTTTCAGTCTGTTTTTGCTCTACTAGGTAGTTTGCTTCCAACATTATTTGTTTGTTGTAAAGCGAAAAGGTACATATCGCGAGTATGAAAACCAGATATTTAACGTTATAAGCCTACTGACTCTCCACTGGGCCACTAGGAGGCTGCCTGCAGCACTGAAGCTAATAATAATCCACCCATTAAGTTCTGTGCGGTTTGTTTCAACAACTAAAATAGTCAGATATTTCTGGGTGTGTATATGATTTTATATTTAGAAATATCTGAAACATTTCAAGTTCACAAAGTACGAATTATAAAAGGAAAAATAATATGTAACCAAAATAAAGAATAACCTTTTTATTACACTTTCACTATATTTTTTAAAACTAACATTTGATATCAGAAAATCTTTCAGTTTGTCTAAGCGTCTGATTAGTTGTAATACAAAGTTATAAAAGAACTGAAAAATATTATACTATATTATGTTTCCAGGATAATCTATGTTATGATCACCAACTATTATCAGATATGTTGTTGATGATAAAAACATACAACATAAATAAGACAGAAAATTCTTGTATATAATACGAAATTTTAATTATGTTCGAAACCTCCAAGTAATCAAATGTTTCTTTAATAATCAAAATATCACAAACAACTCATAATTTAAAACTATCCGCTTGCGATTTCCAAATTGCTGTTTGATTAAATAATGAAATGAAATTTACATTTTCCCTTTGTGATACAATTTTAATTAATCTGTACAAGCACATCCCAGTGGCACAGCGGAATGTGTGCAGACTTATACTACTAGAAACCTGGTTTCGATACCCATGGTGGGTAGAGCACATATAACCCTTTGTGTAGTTTTGTGCTTAATAACAAATAACAACAACAAGCTGTACAGAAAAAGTATACTTGTGTTACTATAGCCATCTTAAGAAAACAATATGGAATAATACATTATAATGAGAAAAGTTTAATACAATTCTAACTTAAATAGACTTCTAAACACTACACACATTGAGTTCAAAAAAGGCAAGGAACTTCACCTCTATTGCTGTTTCTATAGAATTAAATATACCGGTGTCATAAAGTTGGAGAAATTAGCTTCATTAACAAATAAACCCATGCTTGACTTTCGTTTTTATATGCGATGTTCCGTTTTTAATGTTTTTTCTTCAATATTAGTCATTAACTTACATTAGTTAAAATTTTGTTGATTTTTTTTATTTCTTTTTTTCTTTTAGTTTATGGAATGTAATTATGATGTCCTCGGTTCACTTACAACGTTAAAATACAGGGATCGATTCCCCGCGGTGAAAACAACAGATAGCCCATTGTGGCTTTGTTTTAAAACATACATGAAATTATGAACTGAAACCAGTTTGGGGAATTTTAAGTTACACGGGCCCGTTACTTCCTCAGAATAAAATTAAAGGTTTTTTTACTATTTCTTTCAGTTACACACTTAACGTGGAATTATTCTGAAAGAGGAATCATTCAATCACTTATCCCAATTTGCCAGTAAGTTGAATTTGTTTGTTGTTAAGCGCAAAGCAACATAATGGGATATATATGTTACATGTATTGTGCCCATCACAGGTATCGAAGCCTGGTTTCTAGGAGTATTACGGGCGGGGTCTTGTACAGATTAAATAAGTCCGAAGGCTATTATCTCGAAAGTAATTAATGAATTAAAATAACGTGGTTTATTTTTAACATAAAATTCCAACATTTTATGTTTTAATATGGCTTTAAATAAACGTAAGTACATCTGATAAAGTAGTATATATATATATATATTATCGAACTAATGTGCAACAAAAATGTTTGTTCATCAAATATCGCCTATATGACTAATTTTTGAGTTTAAATCTTTAAAAATATCCATTTATGTGCGTCCCAGTGGCACAGCGGTATGTCTGCGGACTTACAACGCTAGAATCCGGGTTTCGATACCCGTGGTGGGCAGAGCACAAATAGCCCATTGTGTAGCTATGTGCTTAATTACAAAGAAATAAAGAATTTATGTGCGTTAATAGCTTAAGATAAAAAAAGGCCATTATCAAAATGTTATCGTAAGATAACCTAAAAATATACCTAAAAATAATATGGCAATCAATTATTATATACTGTATAATAAGCCTGCGTTTATAAAAACAAAAACGGTTATCAAAATAATAATAGTGAAACATTCTAATATAGTCAAATCAAATTTCTTGTGTTTTAATATTATTATTTGACGTCACTTACCGTTATATTTATGCAAGCAGGATCATCAATTCATTATATCTCGTAAATAATTAAGATTATTTTCCGACTCTTTAACAGAGACACCAAATTTTACAAGTTTTCTAGACAACGCATTTTTACAGTTTGTTTTAGTTCTCAGGTCGAAAAGGTACTTCTAAACAGTGAACACAAGACAATCTATTTCTGTTCGCTTTTTTTTCTTCGGTAACACTACGTCACTGAATTTCCTTCACCTCACTGGCTGACTGCCAATATGTGTTTCATGAAAGCAAGAATACTTTACAGAAGTATACAATGTTTTAAGTAAACAAAACTTCACATTTTTGTTATCTATATCAATTTGAATTACAAAATTTTGTTCCTTTCACAACTTTTATTATTATTCGTTGCCATGATTAGTAACCCACACAATCACCTAAGCAATTATTAATAATAAGTTACTATTTCTCTGGGGGTTTCTTCCCATCAATCAACCAATTTACTTGAATGCTTTCAACAAGGATTTCCAGATTTCGCGAACCTCTATGCTACAATTTTTGGTTGTTTTATGAATTAAGTAGATGTAGACGACTTTATGTTTAATTTTCCCGCGTTCAGTCCACATCCCATTAGTTCAGTTTTTACTTCTTATTAAGCATAAAGCTACACAATTAACTATATGGGCTGTACTCATCACCGGTATCGAAACCTGGTTTTTAGCGTTATAAGCCTTCAGAATTACCATTGAGCCACTGGAAGCATTATTTTAGTATAATTTCAATGTATACTAGTTCTTCTCTGACCTGATGAGCACTGATGCTGCTTATTTAGCAGTTTTTCTGGATGATAGTAAAGTTAATTCAAGTACAAATAATAATAATAACATTGTTTTACTAATCCTTGTATTAATTACGATTTGTAAATGATTTAACTGCAATTGCAATTCACTTACTTAATCTAGTTCCCACCATAACAGTTGTTGTTCATGCAATTGATAATATCGTCTGTATGTTTTCATGGAAACCTTTAATATGGGGGGAATATGACTGTATAGATACAATTTTATTATTGGTGTTTATCTTCTTTATTTTTTCTTTGTAAAATGTACCATTGTCAGTGAGGGTTGTAATGATGTCTGATCTTCCTTCTTATTGGCATCTTCAGTGTAACTAATCTTGTATATTCTTCAAACTAGGCATCCTCTGAATCCCATCTTCACACTGTTGGGATGGTTTGATTTATAGTTGAGGTATTTACTCGTAGTTTACATTTAAACTCCCACAGTTATGTGTCTAGTAGTTGTCGGGGATGTAGCGCGGCACGCCACCAGATGGCGACACACATGTGTCAACCCCAGGCAATAGGGAGGGGTGGGTTAGAGATGATGATGTCATAGTGCCACTAACCAGAATCTATAACGTCATGGTTTCACGAAGAGAAACCAGAGAGCATTTCTAGGGAGACTGAAGTTATCATGTTGCCATGTGTCAACCTCAGGCAATAGGGAGGGGAAGAGAAGGGGTAGAGACAATGATGTCATAGTGCCATGCAACAGAGAAAATGAAGCCATAGTTCCACAAAGAGGAACCAGGGGATGTATTGCTGGGGTGTTATGATTGGCAGAAGTTGTCATGTTACCATGACAGTTGAAGTTGTCTAGAAAGAGTGTTGCTTGTTCAACAAAGTGGAACTAGAAGGCACATTGCTAGAGCACCATGGTGATCTCATCATAGTGTCTCAACATGTGAGTACATCATCAATGTCAAAATATAATTATGTCTGAAAGTTTCAAGTAAAACTATTATTTTAATTAAACAAGTATCATAACACTTTCATTCATGTCAGTTTTTATCATACATATTATCCAGCCCCCCAGTGGCACAGCGGTATGTTTGCAGACTTACAATGCTAGAATCCGGGTTTCGATACTCGTGCTGGGCAGAGCACAGATAGCCCAGAAACAAGAAGTGAGATTACAGCAGTTGTTGGAGGAAAAGGAAAAGAAACAAGAAGAGAGACAACAGCAGTGGCAAGAAAACCTGCAACAGTGGCAGCTCAAACAGCAAAATAAACAAGAGAGATTACAACAGTTGTTTGAGGAAAAAGAAAAGAAACAAGAAGAACGAGAAAAGAAACAAGAAGAGAGACCACAGCGGTGGTTAGAGGAAAAAGAAAATGAACAAGAAGAGAGACTACAGCAATGGATGGAGGAAAAAGAAAATAAACATGAAGAAAGTCTCCAACAATTGAGAGAAAGCCAGAGTACACAAATGGAAAACATTAGTAAATTTCAAAGTGAATTAAATACATTAAAGAATGATTTATTATCTTTTACACAAGGAGGATACATTACCCATCGACTTAATCAGCCCCAGACAATGGCAAGCCCCTTCCAGACCCTGCAGCTAGACCCTAATGCAGACATTTTCAGTCCTGTTAGAAGTCACATCCTAGATATAAATGTCAGCAATAGGGGTGATCTAGTACGAAGAAAGCCACAGAAAGTCGAAGGGAAGGCACTGTGGGAAGCATATAGAGTACAATTTGAGCTTCTGGCAGAGATGAATAGATGGACAGAGGAGCAGAATGCAGTATATCTGGCAACGAGCTTGAAGGGACAACCACTGGAAATACTTGGGCAGTTGTCAGCAGACAACAGACACAACTAT